GCCGCCGTGTCCGCCGCCGCCCGCCTCGCCCGCGCCGCCCGCCTGCGCCGCCGAGCCGGTGCCCGGGGTGGCGGGGCTCCGGAACCACGGCAACACGTGCTTCATGAACGCCACGCTGCAGTGTCTCAGCAACACCGAGCTCTTCGCCGAGTATCTGGCGCTCGGCCAGTACCGGGCGGGGCGGCCCGAGCCCTCGCCTGACCCCGAGCAGACTGTGGGCCGCGGCACGCAGGGCCAGGGCGAGGTCACCGAGCAGCTGGCGCACCTGGTGCGGGCCCTCTGGACCCTGGAGTACACCCCGCAGCACAGCCGCGACTTCAAGGTGAGCCCCGCCGCGTCCCCACCCCCAGGAGGGGGGCCCTGCCCCCTGCGTCCCTGGGGCACCCGGCTCCCCAGGTCTCCCTTCCATTCCTCCTTTCCTGGCGGCGCGGCGGGCCAACCAGCGCACGGGTCTAAAGAGGTGTGGGCCCCGAGTCTAGGACCGATGCCACTGTTTGTAAGGGAGACTCACCCATTCATTCTTCGAGTATTAAGGGCTTACTACGAGCCTGGCCCTGTGACGGGCCCTGGAGGGATATGGCAATGAACATGACCTCCTGCCTTCATTGAACTTACGTTCTTGGGGGTGGGAAAGTTGAGCCTGGGTTCAAATCCTCGTTCTGCCATAATGCTTTACTAGCATTGTGACCTCAGGCAAGTTTCTCATCCTCTCTGTGCCAGCTTCATCATCTGGTACTTACCTCATAGGTGGTTGTGAGCTGCAAACAAGTTGATATGTTGGGTTGAACCCTGTGAGATTACCCATTTTTGACCGTTTTTGACTTACAGATTGGCACTTCTATTAGGTTCAACCTGGTATGCAAATAGCTTCCATTGTGCATAGTACCATGTATATTTGCTGCGTTTATTCTCTTTATCATTACAGATTTTAGTAAGGTGAGGAGGTAATATCAGATAGTGGTTTGAAGAAATTAAAACTTGGTGATGTGATTGATGTGTTGGCAGGCTACTTTAAATGGGGAGGGGCAGGGTTAGGGTGACGCCTTTGGAAGAGGCGAGGTTTGAACTGAGACTTGAGTAACCAGGGAGAGCCAGCCTTGAGGAGGTCAGGGGGAGTTGCCTCCCAGGTATAAAAGTGTGAAAGCCTGAGAGCTTGGTGCACTTGAGGAACAGTGTAGCTCTGGGATCAGCAAACTCTTTCTGTAAAGGGCCATATAGTAAATGGTCAGGATGCAAAATGGAAGCTCTTATGTAGGTACTAAAAAACAAGAAAAAACAAACTTCCACAAAATGTTCACTGACTAAAATAAAAATATGGTGAGTGAATACTGTATTTTGTAATATAGGTCTACTAATGGGAGAAGTGTTCACCTTAATTGGAGTTCAAAGTTAGCGTTCCCTATCATCAGATTGATTACAAATATTTAGCTCTCTGGCCGTACAGAAACAAGCAGTGGACTCGATATGGCCCTTGGGTCCCCGTTTGCTGTCTGCGGGTGGAGCTGGAGGCGTGGTGAGCTCTGATGAGAGCTGAGTGGTAGCTGTGTAGGGCCATTTAGGCTGCACTAAGGAGATGGGCTCTTATTTTGAGCAAAAAAGAGGGGAAGATGATTTGAGATTTAGGAGGGATACTTTGAGGTGGGACATGGGTATGGTATTAAATAGAATGAAATCACACAGTGAGAAAGTTAATTCCTTTTCCATTCTGTCTGTCCTGATTATGCCCAAGAGAAGGTCTCAGCTTGGTGGTAGCCTGACTTTAACAGCTCATGCTCACTCCCCCACCTTTTTGTTTTGTTTTGTTTTTTAAACAGAACAAGCTAAGTTTAGAGGCCTTGGCAGACAGCAGTAGCTAGGATTTAATAAGGGTATGTTTTCATTGTGTTTGTTTTTACATTTGTCTTCTATCTGTGACAAATGGTACTGGTTTTTCATTGGTGCTGTGAAAGTGCCTTTCTAAAATTTATTTAAGTAAAAATAAATGATTTGATTAAAATATAAAATGATCTGAGGATTCAGCACTTGATTGAGGACCTACTTTGTTGAGGAACAATACTGTCAGAGTGCACCCCTCCTCTTTTAATACATGTTATTTATATTTATTTATGTTCTGTTTTTCTTAAAAAGAAAAAATGACTGCTGTTTGATCTTGGAAATTTGAATGGAAATACTTGACTGGGATAGGGACTGGAAAAAAATGAGATCAGTGTCAGAGATCTCAAAATAAGAAAGTAGGAGAGAATGGCAACCAACCAGCTACTGTAAGTCTTTTTTCTTCTCTTTTTTCCTCTTTGCTTATAGTTGCCTGTCAGTAGCCACAGCAAATTGCAAACTTTTCAAGGTCAGAACCCAGTGTTTTAAGTTTGGTTTTCTACTCTTTCCAAAATATAAAAATCAATTCCTCCAGCATTTTTGTATGTGAACATTTCCATTGCTTTTTAAAAGGTTGTCTTTTTCTTTTTTTAATCCATTAAAAAGCTGTGAACAGAAATGGGTCAATAATTCTAGAAATGCGGAGGCTGATTTTTAAGCATGCTTTGGCAAAGTTGAACAGATTCTTAGAGGCCCTATTTTTAAAAAATATAATCTTCTGAACCTTAGTAGATTTCACATTGCATTCATTCATTCACTTCCCATTTATTATGGGTTTACTCAATCAGTTAGGAATGCATTCAGCACAAGAAAGAGGAAGCCCCAATGATGATGCCTTAAGCAATAAAGATGTTGAAATAGCTCACACAGTAAGTCTGGAGGTAGGTGTTCTAATGTACAATGGCTTGAAGAGCTCAACAGGGTCTCAGACTATTTCTGTGTTTCCTCTCTGTTGTCCTTGGCTATTTTGTCCCTTTGGCTTTTTATCCTTAATGTTTGTCAAGGTAGGAAGGCACTGGGAAAGTAAGTTTTTCCAGAAGCGCCCCCTCAGCAGGCTTTTGCTGACATCTCATTGACTTACAGCCATGTCAGTTGGCCACCTCTGGCTGCCATGGAGGCTGGAAGGTGGCTATTTGGGTTTTCTTGGCTTAATAGAGAAGTTGAATAAAGGAGGAGTTTGCCTCAGGGGCAGCCCGCCAAAGTGTGAGGCACTTTTATTTCGGAAACACAGTGTACTTGCCTGTGAAGAACTAAGTCCAGTGAGACTTGGTACATTCCCCAAAACATCACTTCTTATACTTTACTGTGCACGTAATCGTGGACGTCTCGTCACAAAGCTGATTTAGATTTGGTGGGGCCTGAAGTTCTGAGATTTCCATCAAGCTCCCAGGTGATGCTGATGGTCCACGGAACACTCTTGCTCTGGAGAACAAGTCAAGCATCACAGAGAAGCGGTCTGCAGGATGAAGAGAAATTAGCCAGGCAGAGAAGAGGGGATGGCGTGAAAGGGCATGCGGTTTTGGAGGAACAGACATTTGGTGGCTGGTTACACCATGAAGAGCAGTGGGGATGCTGAAAGTCTGGGAGAAGTATGTTATGTGGATTGTGAATGGCTTTGTAGGCTATGCTGGTTTGGACACTGTTCTCTGGAAGTTGAGAATCCAGGGCTGATTTTTTTAAGCAGGAGAGTGGTAGAATCAGACTCTTCCTCCTCCTCCTCCCTCCTCCTC